CCCTCCTCCTCCTCCTCCTTCCTCTGCCGTTGACAATGACTGTCAGGTTCCACGTCATCGCTGGGAGACGACGATAGCTCGAGGGTTCTCGTCGTCATCACCGGCAAGGGTCCGCTCAAGGAGCAGTTCGAGCAGGAGATCTGCTCCGCAGGTTGCTTCCTCCATCCTCCTCTTCCTGTTGGGTTCGTGCTGAACGAGAAGGGCAAGGGTTCGCCAGGGTCTCCGTCAAGACAGCCTGGCTTGCGTGTGAGGACTATCCGAAGCTGCTAGGCAGCGCAGACCTAGGTAGCAGCCCATAGCTCGCTCTCCCCCCCTTCATAGCTGACTGCTCGCTGGAGGTGTGTGCTTGCATTATTCATCTTCGGGACTCGACCTCCCCATGAAGGTTCTCTCTTGTCCTCCTTTCCTCTAACCCTGCGCCCCCTGCTACACCCCTCCCGCCCAAACCTGCCCACCCACTTTCCCTTCCACCTTCCCCTCCACCTTTCCCCATCCCGTGCCCCTCCAGCCTTACCCTTTCCTTTTATTCCTCTGCATGCTACACTTCTTCTCCCCCTGCCCCGTCCCACTCCTCCCCGTCCCCCTTCCTTCCTCCACTACCTCCCCGCCTCCTTGTCCTCTTGCGCCCTCTTGCTGAACTCCCAGCAGGTCGTCGACATGTTCGGATGCGACCTCCCAGTCCTCGCCAAGAGGTCTCCCTCCTGCCCTTCAAGCTCCGTCCTCACTCAGCAGCACAGGTACGCGTGCATACAAGAGCTCGTCGCCGACGGCAAGCACGGATACCTCTTCGACGACTCCCGCCAGCTCGCCCAGCAGGTGGAGAGGCTGCGATGGGGAAGAAGAGGGGGACTGAGCAGCTATGAAGATGTTCCGCCTTCTGTCCGAGTTCCCCGAGGATCAGGAGAAACTTGACAGCATGCGGGAGTCGATCGTTTCCTCCCACTGCACCCGCTGGGAGGTGAAGGCTGGCAGTGGAAAACCTTGGTTGCGAGCTTGACGAGACTGCAGGACGAGTGGAAGGAGAGAGCCAGCAGCGTCTTCTCTCGTTATGTGGGAACGTGAGGACACGTGGAGTGGTGACATCTGAGAGAGGAAGGGGACGGGAGCTTGTGGTTCAACGACTATTTTCAACAAATTCATGTACAGAGAAACAAGTTTAGCTAGCTCGGTTCTAGATACAACGCATCGTAGTGATAGCGTGTAGATAACAGCAAGTCAAATGATGACCAGGTAAAGAATGAGAACAATAAAACATGGAGGATAAGATAACAGAGTATGGTACAAGCTTCGCGATTGAGCTTCTAGAGGACAGATGCCCGTCGTACGTTTCCTCTCCGATCTTGTACGACGATGCTTTCAGTACTCATTCGCTTCTGTGATTGAGACGAGATGAGGGGCTTGTTGAGCTTGTCGAAGGCTCCCATCTGACACTTGAGGGACTTGAAATGCTTCTTTGCGTCCTGCTGTTGGATCGACGCCCCGCAGAAAGGGCAAGGAGCATCGTCTTGCTTGCTTCCAAACATCATCGTTCTATCTGGTCTCGACGAAGATCCTTCTTCCTCCTCTTGGCTTCGCCTTCTTCTCTCCTGTCCTCTGTTGTTCTCTCTTCTCCTCTCTTCTCCTCTCTTCTTCTCTCTCCCGCTCGCTCGTTCTCTCCTCGCCTCTCGCTGCCTCTGATTGCCCACCACGGATGCAGAGTTTTATAGCCGAGGTTTTTAGAAGAACTACCTGGGGGTCCCAGCCTATTCACGGTCACCACTGGGGGTAGTCATACTGAGGGTGGTACGTTCGACACGGTGGGTAGTCACAGAAAGGGGGTAGTGGTCATAGATGGAGGGGTGTAAAAATTAAAGTACCCGTCAATTATCAGTGAAATCATGGGAAAAAGAGGGTAGTAGTACGAGAGTACCAGTGATTTTTGGGGCAAGGTGGGCAAGGAGGGGTGTATGAAGGTCTTGACATGGGGTGCCGTGAATGACGAATTGAGCACAAGGGTACTAGTACACTAGTGGTTTTCGGAGACAGCCGATGAGGCTGTAAGGGGGGGGGTAGGGTAGTTTTCCGTGGTCTCGCAACTGTTTACAGTACCCGTACTATTCAATAGGAAAAGAGCTTTAATTGGGGTGGGGGTGAGTTTTGAGATGTTTTTTGGTTTCCTTATGGCAGGTAGGGGTGGTAGAACCGAAAGTGAGGCATTGCAAGTCACGGGAGCTTGTCAGTGCCGAACAGGGGTCATTAGAACCTTCAAACGATGGGTGGGGGGTACTTTTTTTTGAATGGGTGGTATCTTTGCCGTGAGCGGATCCTCCCGAACTACCGGTACTTTGATGGGGAATGGCAGTGACTGATGGGGGGTACTTTTGTTCTATTTTGGAGGATTGAGGTGGGTGGGTTGGGGTCATGTGCATTTTCTTTAGTTCGGACTTCGGAAAGGGTGCCGGACGTGACTCAGTTCAATTCGCCGTCTGAATATTTTTCAAGTTATACTCCTACTTTTCGAGTTAATATCGCAATAATTTGAATCAATCCCGAGAGATTGAGAAGCTTCAATCGGAGTCCCGGGTCAGCAAGCAGACGGTTCAAGTTCAAACGTCGTCCCCTTGGTCATCATGTCACGGCACTTGCCGTGACCTCAACACTCTTGACAGCTGCCCGGCTCTGAATCTGCCGGGCCCGGCCGGGGATTCCGGCAATCTTGGTGTTTACTGAAAAAAATGACTAAAAACGTCATATATTTCCACACGGGGGATGGGGTGGTCTTCCAATGCTCTTGACGAAGAGGCAATACACTCTGGCCCTTGAAATGAAGTGGGTAGGGGTCACTACCCCACACTGTAGTGACTCAAGAGTTGGGTCAGAGGGTAGTCTTGTCAGCGTAGAAAACAGAAATTCCATACAGAAAATGGGGGTAGTATGACTTTGTAATCGAACTAGTAGGGGTGGGGTCACAACTTATGGAATTCTGTAGGGGGTAGTCAAATATAAGGGGGGGTAGAGGTGGAAAACCACCGAGAATAGGAAGAATGCTGTCGCAGTTGATGCACGGAAACTGGTCGAAGGTGGCAAGCGACTACATGAAGCATTCAAGATGGCTGAAGAAGTTGAACAGCACTCTCAACGGTGGCGCTGACACCCATGATGACTTCTAGGCGGCTCGTGTCGAAGGTTTCCCATGGCTCTGAGCCTGAGAGGTGCAGGTCGGTTACGATGGTTGAGTTAGTTTGATGTAGATTAATGCTGCGGTTATAATCGAAATGTTGAGGGCCAACAGTATCTTGTCAGTGTTTCAGCGGTGCCAGAAGTTGTTGCTAAAGGGGAGGTTGCTCCGGCCGTCAGTTTCCTCTTGACAACAAGTGTCTCTGCCTACCTGCTGCTTCTCTCTCCTTGTTCTCTTTCAACCCTACCCCTCTCTGACTTGCCTCCAAGATATGCTCTCGGCATTCCTTCCCTTTCCTTGTTTCATTTTGTGTGTCATATTTTTCTTCCCCCTCCATCCATCCATCCATTCCTCCCTCCCTCCCACCCACCTTCCCTTCATCCCTTATTTCTGCAAGCAATCTCCTTCAGGCCTTCCTGCCTCTCACGCACACAACGCTCTCAACATAAGTTTGGTTTACACATCTCACACTTTATTCTTCACCCTTCACATTTACTATGACAACTTCAGCACGTGCCACGAAGCTTCTCTATCCTCGCATACAGCTGTGTTATGATTGGAACCTGCACTGTTTCAGCCTCCTCTCCTGCTGCCCCTCACTCCCCTCCTTCACCTTCCTTGCCTTCTCCCGCTCGTACTCTGATATCCATGCTTCCAGCCCTGCTATCCTTTTCTTCACCTGCGCTCGTGTGCTCAGAGGTTGTGGAAGCGCAAGGCGGGAGGGACTTTACCTCTGCATTCTCTTTGTTGCGATTCCCCCCCTCCTGCGGCTCGGTCAGCTCTACACTGCACAGCATCTCATTCTCACATGCAGCACCTGTGCAGTTTCACGCAACTCCTGCAGCTGCTTTAGCTTGTCTTTGTACTTGATGCGCTGCCCGTAGAAATCCTTCAGCGTCGCCTCGATCTTGTCCATCTCCTCGGAGTTCATCTGCTCCTCCTCCTCCTCCTCCTCCTCCTCCTCCCCTTTTCCATTTGATTTCCGGCCCTTGTCAGCAGCATCGAACAGATCGCAAGGCTTCAGCTCATGCAGCGCCAAGTTCCTCTCTTGCTTGACTTGACTGTCCTGCAACAGGGAGCATTCCTTGGTGTCGTGACGCTTCTCCTCACTCCTAGTTGAGCTAGCGGCTGCATCAGAGTGACCCGCACGCTTGCTTCCATACCAGCTGCTCTCCTCCTTGTACGTCCCCGTGTCGAGATCAGAGTAGACTAGGAGGGGACGACGAGGAGCTGGTCGATGAGTCCGAAGCGTCTCCATCATCTCCACCCTCCCCGCCATGCTCCGCTCACGCTGTTCCTGCTTGTGGTGATCTGCTGCTCCAAGTCGTCGATGCGGCAAGCACAAAAAGTCGGAGGACGAGGGAGGAGGAGGAGGAGAGCACTGCGTCGAGAGAGGAGGGATGTGTCCTCCTCGCATGCCACTCATCCTCTGCAACCTCCGAGAAAGGGTGAGGGCAAGCCAGTGTTTGGCTATTCCCGCAGCTCGCGCGTAAGCCCTGCTGCTCCGCTCCATGTGTGACGACAGCGCCTTCTCGTGCTTGTATCGAATCTCCTGCGTCCCCGCCTTGATCCAACGAGCTGCTCCCTCCCGGAGAAAGCGGACCCTCCTGTCCTCGAAGGCTGCTCGCTCCTTGCTCCGCTTCTCCTTCTTGTACATCACGAAGCTCTTCATTGCACACAGCGTCTGCTTCACTGACAATCTCCGGTGGTTGTCCCTGATCGTCTGATGCTTTCTCAAGTCGCTCCCCCGCTGCTGCTGCTCCTCCCTCCATCCCTGCCATCCCACTTGCAGCAGACGCTGATTGATCCTCGTCTGCACAGCCACGATCGTCTGCCTCTCCCACCTCCTCGACTCCACATGGGAGCTGAGGGCAATTAGTGACCTTCGGATCCTCCGGCTCGTGACGTGGCAGTTAGCCCTTGTCCTCTCCAGCCTTCTCATCACCAGCCGGGCATGGATGTCCTGCCATGCCAGCAGAGCGCGAGCTGCTGCTCCCCCATGAATCGCACGCCTGAGGTCGTTCACCCTCTCGCTCTTCACTCTTGTCCGCTCCCTCCTCTCCGTCGCGTATCTTCTCATCGCCGCCAGGGTCCTGCAGCTACTCCTTGTTCTACTGTGCGACTGTGCCATCAACTGGAGGAGGTGGGCGTCAAGAGCAGGCTAGACAACAGAATTGAAGGTCTTACCTTGATTCTCTTCCGCCTCTCGTCCTCACCCACGAAGATGATCCATGCCTCGAACGCCCTCTGCCTCCTCCAGCCCTTCAAGACTTGCTGGTAGTATCGCACGATGCTCAGCTCGTGCACTAGAACCCCAAGGAGCAAGGAGAGTAAATGCTGTTTCTTGGCCCTGAACTTCGTCTCACGCCAGTTGCCAGCGAACTCCAAGTTCATCCTCTTCATCTTCTTCATGGACAAGAAGGAGAACTCGCCCCTTCCTCCCCAACGGTCGAGCGGCCCCTTGAGCACGCGGAGGTAGTGGTGCATGGCTGCCCTCCGTCGCATCAGAATCTTTCTCTTCGAACTCTCGAGGATCCTCCTCCAAGAGGACAACGACCGCACACACGTCTTGTACTCCCTGAACACATCGGCCCTGTCCTTGGCCTCGTCCTTGTTCCTGTTCTCCTGCTTCAAGATCCTCCACTCGAAGCACGCTGTCTTCAACACCAGATCTCTCCTGTGCTGGTCTGCAAGATCGCGGGATCGCCGTTTCTTCACTTTGACCACCTTCACTCTCATCCATGTCATGAGTGTTCTGCTCTTGATAGCGCATGTTTCTCGGTCTCTTACTTGCTGGTACCCGGCCCGGAGCCTGGCGCTCATCCTTTGATGACGAGCCCAGACACTCAAGTTTCGTCTCAAGAGCTTCGAGCGGGCGGAGCGGTCAGCCACGTCACGAGCGCGCGCTTCGAACTCCCTCTGCTTCATCTCCGTCCTCTTAGACAACAAACTCCAGACCTGCTCCTCCCTCCTTGACCTCATGGCTGTCAGACACACAGATTCTAACGTCGACATCTCAGCGTTGACCTCCCTCCACACCCTGAAAGACTTTGCGGCCATCGCTCGCTCCATCCTCCTCTCGAAGTCCTCCACATTGCTCGCCAGCTTCTCTTCTAGCTCCGACAGAGCGATGTTGTGGATCAAGGAAGAGAAGCCCTGCCGAGTTCGCAGGTCAACTCACACAGTACGAGGCCAACATGCAATCACCTTCTTCAGAATCATCTTCCTACTCCTCACTCTCCTCCACTCCACAAACGTCCTGATGAGCTGCTTAAAGAATGAGAACACGTCGAACAAGCTCCCGTCACTCTACCTTGCAGTGATAGTACTTCACTTTCCATGTGGAGAAGGACGTGTCGACATAAAACTGATCGTGCAAACGGGCGAGCAGGAGGGCCGACTTTGCGACTGCCCTGGCTCGATCCCGTCTATGGCGCATGTTTCCGAGCAGCGCTTCGATCGCTGGTCTTGTCAATCTCATCGCTCGGAAGGCCTTGACGAGCATGCGGGTTGAAGCCTTGATCTCAGCCGTCTTGACTTGGAGTCAGGAGACTTGAGCTCACAGCTCTCACTCACCTCTCGCCAGGCAAGCAGGCATGTCCTCTTGTACCGATCAGCCGCATGCAGCAGCGCCTGTTCTTTCGTCATCCTCCCTCACTCCCTCTCACTCCCTCCCTGCCTCCCTGCCTCCCTCCCCTCCCTCTCTCCCTTTCCCTCTCTCCGAGTAAATTGGCTCACCTTGACATTCAGCGAGTAGAGTTGCTTCCTGTCCTCTCGGTTCCTTTTCAAGCCTTGCACACATCTCGATGAAAGATGGAAAACCCGCCGGGTCACAACCGCGATCCTGAACCTCCACACCCTCCTCTCGAACTTACACACCCATCGCCATGCCGCCTACACCGCACGGTACAGTCAGCAGGGCTCCGACAGCCAACATGGGACAAGATGCACCAGAGAATGAGAGAGGATGGTGCTCTTGTCTTGGTTAAACTCTCTGAACAGCAGGAGCCTCGCTGCATAGATGATCCGATTTGATGAAGAGTCCTGCAAGCTCTACTTAACCCCCTCCCATCCTCCTCCCCCGCCCTCACACCTTCAAAGAACCGCCGCTCTCCTCTGCCCGCGACGGCATCCACGCTACGGCCCTTCCTCAGCCTGCAGACAAGATAAGGTTACCTGTCAAGCAACTTCTTCCTCTCCCTGCCATTCGTCTTCCTTCCTCCGTTTTGCTTGCCCTCCCTGGCTATTCGTTCGTGCTCAGCCCCGCCCTTAACCCCATCCCACCAGTCCCTTCTATTCTTGTCTGCCCTGCCATGTCCTGTCCTGTCATCCCCTCCCTTCCCCTCCCTTCCCTTTCCCTTCCTCTCTCCATTCATACGGTTCCGAAGTCTTCCCGCCATTCCCTCTCTGATCACCCCACCTCCATTTTCCATACTTTTTACATGGGTGGGGAGTGATGGATTAGGATAGGGGTGTTATCTACATCAAAATAAGGGGTACAGGGTGGTGAGCATATGAGGGGGTACTCACAAGCTATTGGAGGGGGTAGTCACCTGGGTGGAGATGATGAGTAAAATTGCCTAGTGAAAGATCAGCCCACGTCAGCCATGGCCACGACGAGGACGAGGAGGACGAGGACGAGGACGAGGACGAGGACGAGGACGAGGACGAGGACGAGGACGAGGACGAGGACGAGGACGAGGACGAGGACGAGGACGAGGACGAGGACGAGGACGAACATAAGGACTGAGTACGAGGAGGAAGAGGAGGAAGGAGGTTTGGAGGTAGCACATTTGAGATAGAGGCAGGAGAAATAATCGAGAGGTTGGTCTGTGTCAGGAAATGGCAAGGGGATTAAGTGGGAATGGAGCGGGCAGATTGAACTAGACAGGATAGGATCATGTATGAACAAGCGACTGGAAGGAGCGGGAAGAGGAGAAGGAGACAGGTTTACCTTACCCACTTCCTCCCTCACTTGGTTCATGCAGGCATGCACCCCTGATCAGAAGGAACCATGGTTGACGCCGAAGCTGTGCTCGCAGCCGAGCTGCAGGAGAGCAGGAGGAGGGCGGAGGAGCTCTCGGCATTGCTGGAGGCAGAGAGGAGGAGGGCTCAGGAGGCAGAGAGGAAGCTGTATGAGAAGGAGAGGCTGCTGAGAGAAAGCGAGAAAACTCCTCTTGACGAGCGAGTGGTCGAAGGCGTGCGGAGGAGGTTCGAGGAGGACGAGATCGCCCTCAAACAGCATGCTCAGAGGTTCTCCAACGCGGCGTCTGCCATAGACGTCGTGATACCCGGGCTCAAGGCGAACGCGAAAGCTGTGCAGGTGAAGTAGGAGGGAGCGAGGGGAAAGGGGAGGGAGCGAGGGGGGAGAAAAGGAGGAGTGGAGGGGGCATGGGGGTGAAGCAAGTGGAGGGAGCAGGAGGAGAGGCAGAGGATGAGAGAGGAGGCGAGGATACTCACGACTCTCCTCGAGCAGGATCAGATCGCGACTCACTTCTCGTTCCTGAGGAAGCAACTCAAGGACAGGGAGGAGAAGCTTCTGGCGGTGGTGGAGGGGCTGGCGAGCGAGAAGCTCCGGGCGCTGGAGACCCAGAAGGAAAGGATGCAGAGCATCGTGAGCTCCTGCGAGAGGGCAATCTCGAGCACCGACGAGCTGCTCAAGGGAGACGACTGGTCGCTGCTCACCAAGAAGGATGCGGTTGCCGAGCAGGTGGGGCGATCAAAGGACGACCTGTCCTCTTTGCCCCTCAGCCCCCCCCCCTCCCCCTTCTCCTCCTTCTCCTCTGCCTCCTCTTGTCTACCCCACCTCCTCTCCCTCCTCTTCCTCCTCCTTGATTCCTTCCCCGCTCCCGCTCGTACTACTCTTCCTCCGATATTGGCCCTCCTTCTCCCTCCCACCCACCTTGTTCCTCTCCTCCCTCCTCTCCTCTACCTGGCAGCAGCCTCTTTCTCACCTGCCTCCTTCAGGTCGCTGCTGCTATCGCCGGCACCTGCAAACTCGATGCGGAGTGGTCGGAGAAGATTCAAGCGAACCTGCCGGGAACTTTAGAAGAGATCATCGAGTCCCATGGAGTTGTTTCCCTCGCGTCCATCGATATGGTGCCTCCCAACATTCCTCTTCCCCTCCTCCTCTTGTTCCTCCACCTCATTATCTTCCTTTCCTCTTTCTCTCTCCTCTTCCTCTTCCTCTTCCTCTTCCTCTTCCTCTTCCTCGTCCTCGTCCTCTCTCCTCTCGTCCTTCTCCTCCTCCTCTCGTCCTTCTCCTCCTCCTCTCGTCCTTCTCCTCCTCCTCCTCACTCTCCTCCTCTTTCTTGTCCTCTAAGCCTCTTCTCTGCTCTCCTTGTCTCTAACTTCACGTGCAGCCCGAGACCGAGTGGCACAAGGACCTCGCGGTTGTTTCGCGGATCGCCGAACCTCCGCGTCACCTGAAGTCCAGCAGAGCCAGTCAGGGAAACAGCGACTTCGGCTTCATGTTCGATGTGAGCCTCCTCCTCCTCCACCACCACCACCACCTCCTCCTCCTCCTCCTCTTCCTCCTCTTCCTCCTCTTCCTCCTCTTCCTC